GCGACTTAGATAAGAACAGCTAAAAGGCCTGTTCTTATGTAAGACGCGTCTTATCCAAGACGCGTCTTACATAAGAATTTTGTACCTTTTATACGACAAACTCGCGTCTTATTTAAGTCGCGTCTTATGTAAGTCGCGTCTTATTTTGTTCCGTATAAATGGCCCTAATGTAACCGTGAAACAATACATGCACGAGTCATTAATTTGACTAATAAGTAATATTCTGATTAATTTGTATGAGTCATCGAATGAGTCATCATTAGCATTATTTTAGAAAATAAACTTGAAAGAAAATATCTTATCGGTGAGTTGTCATGTCGGCCTATTGTCCTGTCGGCCAGATGTCTTGTCGGTCAAAGGTCCTGTCGGTCTAGTGTTTGTTAGCCAAGTATCTGTCGGTCAAACGTCCGGTCACAGCCAAAAACACGCTTATTTTAATGGCTGGTCTCTGGGCTGAGAAATAATTATTTTAACGCGATCAAGGTATTATATTTAAAACAAACGTAGCGCAAAGCCAACGGAACGGCAAAGACAACACTAAAATGAAATATTGTCGATGGATTGCTGGTAAAAGACTTTCAACAGGATCACTCTTAAATAATCTTAAACTAAAATAATAAATGTTCACGTCAAAGACAAAGATCAGTACCAAAGTATAAAATCTGCTCTGTAAACAACGGAGTGAAGAAAGGTGTGCACGAGCTGTTTATTTGGTGATTTCTACATATAGGAAACATTGAAAGCCCTCTTTCCAATAATACTCGCTAATCGTACAAAATAACACCAACTGATATAATAGTTCAAATGCAATGATAAGTTACCTCGATCTAGCCCTAGAAATTAATTACGTCTCAAAATCTGTGTTGGGAATTTAAATGCTGACCCATTACATAACATTCATACCGCGTTTTACATCGTTGTATAAAACATTTTGATCGCATGTAAGAAATTATTTCTCAGCGCAGAGACATAGCCAAAAAGTTTAGCATTAACGTCCTTGTAATTTTATTGAAATAGAACCAGAACTGAGGATTTTAGAAAGCTTTATCTGTACCTTCCCAAAGTTGTAGACAAAATATGTTGTTTATGCATAACATTACATGACTCAAAATTATTCGAGCAAAACCGTTCTTAGTGTTCTTTTGTTAAAAGGAAGACTGGTTAATAGAAATTGGTCCTTTTGAGTGAGATACACGTTTGTCGTCATCGATCAGTGTCGCTGAACAATGAAAAAAGTTGTCGTGAAATTTATAGTGAAGTTAAAATTGCAGTCTACGGAGCGGGAACTGTTCGGATTTGAACTCAGCATGTTCGAAAGTGTTAGTTCCCGTAAAAATATTTCAGTTCCAAGACATGCGAAATGAAAGTATTTCGCGTTAGTATTTCGGAATAATATTTCGGCAAAGAAAATTGAAGTTATTTCAAGGGAATCCTTTGAAGTTGGAGAGTACAGGCTTACAAGTAACTCTTGGCGATGGCGAATGCGATTAGCTGTTGTATATAGACCTCCTTCTTCGTGTGTGAATATATTTCTTAATGAATTTGCTACTTATGTGGAATCATTAATAGTGTGTTTCGAGCGTATCTTAATCACTGGCGACTTCAATTTTCATGTCGATAATTCTATGGATCTCCATGCTTCAGCATTTTTAGATCTGCTTGATTCTTTGAATCTTGAGCAGCATGTACATTCGGTCACGCAGGTAACTGGTCACACACCGGATCTGATTATTACACGTAAGATGGATAACATTATTAAATGTTTGCCTGTGTCTGATTGTTTTTGTCTGACCATTCCACTGTTTTATTTGATCTAAATGTAACCAGGCCTAGCTATCTCTGGAAGATCATGTCATATCGTAAACTCAAGGATGTAAATATGCAATAACTTAAAGAAGACCTACGTTTATCTGACTTATGCCAGCAACCTCCTGAGGAACTTGATGACCTAACTCACAGTTATAATACCACACTAAAGAGAATTCTTGACAGACATGCACCCCTTCGAGTTAGATATGTAGTTGTTACACCTCCGGTTCCTTGGTTTACTAATAGCATTCGTGAAGCAAAAAGGGAACGGCGCAAAACTGAACGAAGATGGAGAACTGCAAATCTTCATGTGGACTTTCAGCGATTTAAGAGGGCAAAGAATCGGGCGACCTATTTGGTGAACAGAGCAAGAAGTGAATTCTATAGTAACTTAATTAGTGAGAACTCTGGTAATCAAAGGAAATTATTTTCAATTACAAGGAATATTTTCAATCAGAGTAACAAGATGGTTTTTCCACCTAACTTTTATAATATGGAAAGTTTTGTTGACGATATGGGAACATTCTTTATAAGGAAGATTACAAACGTACGTGCGGAATTAGCTTGTGTAGATGATTGTACCTATAGCAATGTTGGTGACACATGTGTATCATCATTTGAGAATTTTGAACCTTTGGAAATGTAAGCTGTCAAGCACCTTGTTTTAGAGTCAAACACAAAATATTGCTTCTTAGATCCTATCCCGACTCGCATGGTAAAGGAATGTTTGGATGAGTTGCTACCAGTATTAACATCTATTATTAATAACTGCTTGTCATCAGGAATATTTTCTAATGAATGGAAGAAGGCTTTAATAATTCCGTTACTGGAGAAGTTTGGCCTGGATTTAGCCTTCGGAAATTTTAGGCCTATTAGTAATTTATAATTTGTGTCAAAGTTGACCGAAAAAGCTGTTTTCAACTAAACACACTCCTATCTAGTTTCAAATGATTTGTTTCCTTTTTGTCAATCCAGTTATCGGAAATATCACAGTACAGAGACGGCGTTACTAAAAGTAAAGAATAATATTTTGATGAATATAAATAACCAAGAGGTTACATTACTTGTTTTATTGGATCTCAGTGCTGCCTTTGACACGGTCGACCACAGTATTCTTCTTAAGCGACTACAGGCGGACTTTGGAATCTCTGGAACAGTACTTTCTTGGTTTTCTTCCTATCTTTCAGGCAGGTCTCAAAAAGTTGTAATTGATGGTGTCTGCTTTAAAAATTTTGATCTGAGTTTTGGTGGCCCACAGGGATCATGTTTGGGACCACTGCTTTTCATCCTATATACAAGTAAGTTGTTCAAAATTATCGAATCTCATTTGCCTAACGCGCATTGTTTTGCTGACGATACTCAACTGTATTTATCCTTTAAACCTGGAACTATGTTGGATGAAGCCAATGCTGTTCGAGCAAAGGAAGCTTGTATTGCTGAGGTACATCAGTGGATGCTCTCAAAAACTTAAGCTTAATCCTGAGAAAACCGAGTTTATGACCATTGGCACAAGGCAACAGCTGGAAAAGGTTAACATCGATTGCCTACAAGTGGGAGACAGGCAAATTATGCCATCTTCTGTAGCGAAAAACTTGGGATCTTGGTTTGATTCTAAATTAAACTTGTCACAGCATATTAACAAGACATGCATAGCTCTGCTTTTCTTTCATCTTTATAACATCCGTAGAATACGAAAGTATTTAACTCGCCAGGATGTGGAGTGTTTGGTTCATGCACTTATTTCAAGTAAGATTGATTACTGCAGTGGACTGCTTTACGGAATTCCAGCCTTTCATATAACGAAACTCCAACGTGTTCAAAACAATGCTACAAGATTGGTCACCGGTATTTCACGATTCAGTCACATTACACCTGGCTTGGACGCCTTACACTGGTTGCCTGATGTTTACAGCATTCAGTGAAAAATTTTATTGTTAACTTTTAAATGCATACATGCATGGACTAGCCCCGAAATATTTAATGGATCTTATTAACATTAGAAGGCATACTAGTTACAGTTTAAGATCATGTGGAAGTTTGACACTATTGCCACCAACAGGAAAATGTTTGACGACTCTTGGTGGGAGAGCGTTTAAATCAGCTGCTCCAAAACTTTGGAACGTTATGCCAGCATATATTCGTAATATGGACAATTTAAATCTATTTAAAAAGGCATTAAAATCCTACTTATTTAGAATGGCCTTCGAACATTGAAATACTTTTTATAAAGTGAACTCTGATGTAAATGTAACTTTTAGATGTAAATAACTACAATATAGTAACTGTAATTTAAATTTTAGATTTATGTAATGCCCATATGAACATATCTGCATGCTAATATGCGCAATATAAATTTAATTATGTTAATGTAATGTTAAATCGATTTACAGGCACTTTTCGAGGTCACAACAAACGGCCTATGTATATAGTAGCACATTTTCTTCAACGATAAAAACTTAGACGGAAATAGATGCTACCATACTATCTATCACAGAAGTAAAGGTTATTCAGCGTTCATGTATAAACTATGCAAGCAACCATGCAGTCTGCAGACAATTTATATTATAAGCTATCAATATACAGTGTGTAGACAGAGTAAAAAAGGATATCTACTTTTCAACTTTGCATTGGAAGCAACATTTTCATGAGAACGAGGCAATTTTATTAGCATTGTGTTCCCCACTTCGCAAGATGGTATCGTGAATCACAAAATTGCTTAATCAGGCTTGGAGAGAGCAAATGCGTTGGCTGATGTCCTTGGATCTCTTAAATTTGATGTCATAGTACCAAGCTAAAGAGTGAAAAAGAGCAACGCTGTAGACGAACCGTACAAGCATAGCAAAGTCGAGTGCTAAAGTATTTAAACATGGCTGATGGTCAGCATAGAACGTGCGTAGAACATGTAGAACTTGGTTATGCCAACAATGATGGCGACGACCTCTCTGTGGATTTCCCTTTAGTTCTTTTCAGCTGAGTCATCTGCTGATTTGGAAACTTGTGTGACATGACTGGGCCAACATCATATTGCCCAGCACACACTTCAGGGCCACAGGAAGTTTTGGATCGAAATGCCCCAAGATCTTTGAAGATGAAAAGACTTCCGTGGCGCAACGAACGCTTGTAGAAGGATTTTGAGGCCCAGAAAAGTTCAATTTATAGAGTACCGGAAATATACTAAGCTTGCTTTGTTTCACGGCTACATGATCACACGATCACATTCTCCTGCGTTTTTGGATGAGGGTCAAGTGTTAATAAATTTAAATATACGCCGTTCTACTATTGCAACATTGACCAAGACCGTGCAAGTGTTTTAGAAAATAATAAACGAGGTCAGGATTCAGGGCATTTTTAACCATGTACATACTGGGCAACCTCGTCCCCAGGGCATTTACGCCAGTAGGCCCTTTGTTTGCCCAGTAGTGAAGCAAGATTTTCAGATGTTAATTCCTTTAGTGCTAATTCCTTTAAATTTGCAATTTTAAAACTATTAGAATCGTACAAGGATATCGATCGCTTTGAATTATTATGGTGATCAGTAAATTGCATAATTTATATCTATGAAATTATAATCCTAAGACCTCTATATATTTTTTCTCACTCTAAGTAGCTTTTAGACGTTTAAAATAGAATTAATAACTCCGCATATATTGCTGCCATGTGTTTTTACCCTCTTTCAATAAAGTTTTCATTCAATGTTTATTCAGATGACGTGGGTCCCTTTGATTTAATGTAAAAAATCAACCTTGTTGAAAAAGTACATCTGCCTGCTTTCTCATACCCTCACGATATTCCATCTTATAAAAGTTAGCGCAGGCAGCTGGGCGGCACTAAAGGGGTTTAGATTGGAGGAGGTGTAGTCTCCCAGCCCCTCCCGATGGAGCACACTCTCCCCCATTCGTCAGCTAGTGGGAAAATTATCTAATCCCAGTTGGATAGGAAGGAAAGAAACAAAAATATTTGAGTGATGTTGATTAAAATCTAATAATTGTAGCTAAAAGTTGGAGAAGTAATAATTGTAGCTTAAAATTTTTGATGTTACGCCGTGAAGCTCCTCCTTCCCCGCCCCCCCCCCTCCCAATGATAGACTTGGAACATGTGTCAAAATAGGTTGTAGTAAGATACTGGAATCACAGAGGAGCAAGGAGCAAGCACAGAAACAACTGGGATAGAACGATAGGTCTCGTTGTGTTTACATTACAAACTTACACATATCCAAGCACTTTACTAGGACCTACAGTGAGTGACCTGATAATGATTTCAGGTAAATTATTTGGGGTGGCTCACCCTGCAGTATAAACATGTTTGGATTGTTTAATCCCGAGACCAATTTCCATGACAACAGGGTAAATCATGTGTGTTAGGTGTGTATATGGTACATGTGTATATGTATTTTTGTGTGTGTATATGTAAGGGGGAGGGCATACACCACCGGAAATATTTTGAAATCCAGAGTCCCAGTGGCGTGCTGGATACTATTTTTCTGGGGGGTGGGCAGTGGGCTGTAACAATATTTTTTTGAATGCGTTTCTTCCCAGCCACTTTCAAAATTCGGCGCGGGATCGGCGCCCCCTTTTCATTTTTGTGCACCCCCCCCCCCCCGAATTGCCAGCTGGGGGAGGGCGTCGCCCCCCGGCCTCCCTGTCAGCACGGCACTGTAGAGTCCCTGAAATTTGGGATGAAATCTTGCAGAATTCTGAAGAATATATTAAGGTAGATCGAAGACATGAATTTTCCCAGAATTTCTCCTCGGAATTAAATAAATTGGAAATGTTACCTTGAAAAACCTTCTTTCCCCTCTGTGATGCTGGGGGGGGGGGGGGAGAAAATTCCGATGTGATTTTGATAAGGAATGTTGCATTTAATTAAATAATTCTAGGTTATATGAGACAACATTTCTGCATTGTCGCAATTGCCTTTCAAGACGTATACTTAGTCAGTTTCAGCTTCGAGTATGTAATGTGTACCGCTTCCCCCCAATTTCTCTACAGATTTAGCCTTCTTGAGAAAATGGTTTTCAGTGTGGCGATGGGGCCGGTCGTCCCCTCGCCTGTATGCCACTGTCTGTTTGCCACCACCATATTACTTTGATTAAATCGTGATTTCCACAATCCACAGGCACTTAAAAGTGCTTGTGGATTGTGGAAATATGATTATACATATACTTTATCATTTCGGACTTGGACTCGAATTATTTAGGACTCGGACTTGAAAAGTTTGGACTGAAATTTTGCTAGAGACTTGGACTCGTACTCGGACTTGAATGTATAGGACTCGGGCTTGGACTCGTAGAGCACTGATACATAATTATAATAAAATTGCATGATAATTATAATTAACATTGTTCTGTTACATACCACCACATCCCTTTTCGTTTCCAACATATCCTTCTCCACATGCGCATTTGTATAGACCTGGGGCGTTCGTGCAGTTATTAAAGGTTTTAGGACCACATAAGGATGTTGAGCATTCATCAATATCTAAACAATTATTGTACCAGCCATTCAGGTTGAAGAATAGAACGGTGGTAATGACACTCTATTTCATATCATTCAAAAATGTTTAGTACAAGTACCTAAATATCTATTTTCATTTATTTTCACTCTTAGCTTTTATAATAAGTGTCGAAAGAATAAAGATGATTAATAG